ATATATACAGTGCAACATGCAGTGTATGTGTGCATAAGAGCAAGAAAACGACTTTCTTCTTCTCATTCTTCTTGTTCTCTTCTTCCCTATCCTTCATTTGTTCGACGCATACCCATTGCACACATTGCAATAGAAAAATAGTCAGGTAGGGGTAAACTATATAGGTGAGCTGTCTTTTCAAGTGCAAATAAAAAAAAAAACATGACATGAAAAATCTATCATTTTAAAATTATATATAAATATCAATAAAGAATTTTTGTTATTTGTTTCCTGTATTTCTTTTTCTTCTAGTTTAAATTCTTCTAATATGGACAATAATAATAATAATAATAATTTAACAGTCGATACATCATCATTATCAATGCCAATAATAGAACAAAATGAAAAATTATTATCATCAATGTCATCAAGTGTTCCTATTACGTCTTCAGACAGTGATGAAAAAATTGTATTTCATAATGAATATGAACAAGATAATGAAATCGTTAAAATAAATCGAAATAAAAATTCTTCTCATATGTCTAATCTCGATTATGGTAAAATCGATTCATCTCTCTCACAATCTCAATCACCACAAACAGTTATTGGAACAATGCTTGATTCAATTATAACACAAATTGAAACAAATAATGATAATCAATTAAATTCTTTACCGATTATTGAAGATGATCAAATGGAAGTTGATGATGATGATGAGGAGGATGATGAAAATGAAAATGAAAATGAAAATGAAAATGATGATGATGATGATGATGTAGAACAAGAAACTATAGAAAAAAATGTATCAAATAAATCAATAATTAAAGTTGACAAAGAACGATCAACAACAAAAAATTTATCATCATCATCATCATCATCAACAACAACAACAACAAAACGTGATTTGAAACCAACAACACGAACATTACGATCACATGCACGTGCTAAAATCAATTTATCAACATCAATACAAAGTTCATCGAATGCATATAATAATGTTCGACGTGTATCGAGTCGAAGACGTGCTTTAGAAAAAAAATTATTCTTAAATACGACTGAAAAAGAAAAAAAACGTAAATCAATATCAGAACGTTCAAAAAAAGACAAAGATAATACGACAACAAATGATGATATTCATACATCAAGTTATTCCGATGATCAAACTATTGAAAATACTAATGGTATGAAGATTTTTTCAAAGAATGTCAAAAGACAAAACACTAAAACGAATATATTTGATTTTTCTCTAGTTGAAAAACTATCTCATACAACAGCAAATCCAAATGATGATGCTAGTTCATGTTCAAGTACAGGTGCTGGCGATGGAAGTAGTACAAGTAGCTCAACAATAAATAACAAACAGTCTAATACAAATGCTGATATTGATTCATTGCCACCTAATAAACGTCGTTTACGTGAAAGAAATACTGGAATAACAAATACATCTATGCCATCATTAACAACAGATGCATCGAATAATTCCAATTCAACTTCAAATATAGATAATTCACCATCAGAATCAATGGCAACACGTGAAATACCTATTAATAGTATTAAGCAATTTCTTGAAATTAGACAACAGGTGAACAATTTTTTTTTTTTTTTTTTGTTTGAGATCTATTCATATAAGGCTCATAAAAGTCATCTAAGCTGCTTTTTGTTTTTCATCGTTCGTCCTTGAAATGAATATTAACCTGCCCACTCCCCCCTCCTCCTAAACAAAAAGTGAATTTTCATCAGGACAGTCGAGAAATGTTCTGATAGTACGTTCCAGAATTGTTGAAAAAACTTCATTATAGTAAGTTGCTTAGATTTTTTGTTTCAGAGAGTATGTGAGGCCACAGTGCCAGTTTTTTTAATTAAGTCTTTTTATTATTATGTAAAAAAAGTACTTCGGCAAATAGATGAGTTTTTTTTGAGGTATTGAATTTGTCATCCTTCCTCTTCGTACCAAAACAAGAGCTAATACAAAAGGACTCTGTCAAGAACTGCAGTCTGACACGTTCTTTCAAGTAAAAAGAAAATTATCTTTATAAAATGACGGTCGACAGAGATTGTCGGGTTGTCGAATAACCTTCGTTTATTAAATATCTTCCGAAAACATAATGATATATGATTGAAAAGTTCAGCATACTCTCTTCACTAAAATTCTCATGTATCCTAAAAATTTCACGCTCTTTGAATGTACTTGGTCGAAGATCGATCTCCTGATATGGGAAGGAACGGGAGATTTAGTATCTATATCATCAGGTGAAAAACATTTAAATGATTTTATTTTTCTTTTCCCGATCATAAACATGACTATTGAGTAGTGTTTATCGAAGAAACAGCTGTCACTCAATGGTAGACATAGAACACAGAAAAAAAAGGTCATTTGACGATATTTAACATATATGACTTCATAACACATTGACTTAATATCATTCAAATTGTTTATACTTACATTTGTAAATATTGTTATTTCATAGAATAATATGTAGTTTTTTTTTTTTTTTGTAAATTCAACGATTTATATCCTATGAAATCATTTGAAAAGGTTACAAATATATCCTAAAACATGATCATGACTTTAACTCACAAGAAATATTATATCGTTTATTAAAATTTAATATAAAGAAAATACAAGAAAAGAAAATTTATTTTTATATTTATCTAGATTGACAAACGACATGAAACAATGTTAAATGAATTTATTTTACCAAAAGTTCCCAAAGATTTTTCCGATACAACAATGGCAAAAAAAAGTTATCTTATTGCTCCACAATGTAGTTCATATTCTACAACAACACCAGCATCAATTGGTATAAAACGTTTATCACCACCACATGATCTGGATGCACATTTAGCTGATGTATTTACAAAACAAGAAGATGAAAGATATAAAATGAAATTACGACATCAAGTTGAACGAGTAAAATTAAAATAGGAAAAAAAAACAATAGTGTTCGATTCTTTTTTTTTTCTTTTTGTTTGTCTGTAGGATAAATTAATTCTATCTCATGAACAAGAAGTTTTACGTTTGTGTGGAAATGCAACACGTTCATCACATAATCAAGATACACCATTAAGTTATTGTTCATTACTTAAAGATAATGAAGTTTATAATGATCCATCAATACAATTACCAGAAAAATTTATTAATAATGATTGTACAAATACAGAATTAAATAAACGTGGTAAACATCGTTGGAATGGCCGTTCATTTATCAAATGGCTTGAAGATTCAAATCTTAAATATAAACGTCTTAGTGTATGTTATTAAATCAACGAAAAGAAAAAAAAAATATCGTTTAGAAAATTATTATTTATTTATTTGTTTTTTTTTAGTGTGAACTTAATGAGCGACAACGTCTAGAAGCAGATACACTGTATTCAATGCAACGTATGGTTTGGTTAAAACATTTACCAAAAGAATCTGCTAGTTTATCGTCATCAGGACGAATGAGTTATCTTTTAACTGAACGATATTTACCTAAAGTTGAAATAAATCCTAATTTTTGGACTACTTGGGAAACAAGTCCATTTTAATGTTTCGTTTTTTTTTTTTTGTTGTTCTTTTCTTCTCATTGATTTTTCTTTCGTTTATTTCGTCTACATGGATGTAGGTTCAACTATCTTTGACAAATTTCTGTCTCTCTGTCTCTCTCTTTTTTGTTTTTTTTTCGCTTTGTGATATTCGTGTATAATTTGTATGTATATCAGAATTTTTCTTTTTCGATGTTGGTTTTTTTTATAAAAATAAAACAAATATATAATCTTTGTTGTGAGATTAAAAAAATAATAATAATAATGCGAATTATTTGTGTGTGCTTTTTTTTTTATTAATAGGATATGTTAGAGTTTTTCTCATGGACGAGAAATAGAAGGATGGCGTATCGTTTTAGAAGATTAGTGCCTGAAATGAGAGATGTTGTCAATAACATCGTACATGTGGTTATGATTAGGAAAATGAGAGAATCATGATAAGTACTATCGCCTTTCATCGTCTATTTCATAATTTGAGGATAGATAGACTATATGACTCGGGCGACGTAACTTCATAAGATTTTATGCATTGTGAGTCTATAACAGCAATATCTTATCTAGATTCTCTCTTGGCAAAAAAGAGGCAGAAGAGGGAACAGAAAATTTGATATCTAGGAAAGCGAGATTGCCTTGTTGTGATTCTCTAAAATATATAAGAATCAATAGTTTTTGAAAAAGAATTTTGGATAGAAAAAAAAAAGAAACTTTTGTGATATTTTGACTAAAGAATACGTTCAAGTTTCTTTTTCATTGATAAGGAAAAAACAAAAAATTCTTAAGATCGACGCGACTATTTTGAATGGGTATTTTCCATTGAAGTCATTCCATCGTAGGACAATGTTGTCTTTAGAAAAGTTTAGCAAAAGATTTCGAGCTAGAAAAAGGTGTTCCACAGATGTGTATATCTAGATATGGGCACAATGATCTTTGTTTCATGATCAGGACCAACTATTTTTCGTTGGGAATGGTACTTTTAAAGGTCATCTAAGTCTTGCATCACATGTCATTTTGTCAGGACTCATGTGTTCTAGATTGACATGGGTAAGATAGTCTCAGTAACAGCTCATCGGATCTGACTCGACAGGTTCGGCAGCATCATGACCAAAAATGACTGGTCCCGTCCATCTCTACATAAAAGATGTTGTTGGTTTCATTTCTCACTAGATATGACCACGCACGGTCGAAGACGTTTACGTGAGGTATCAAGCAAGTCTACGTTTCTTGATCAACAATGTATATAGATTAAATGTTGAAGAAAATATCAACAATAATTAATTCCTAACAATCATGGATATTACATATTGTCATTGATAAGAGAATGTTTAAAGCTACTCGATTGATTCATAAGTATTTATTTTCCATAATCGAATATTTGAAAATAAGTTCTAACTAGATTCACAAAGATCATACTCTATTGTAAATATATATTTGAAAAAAACAAGACTTTTATATTAATAAAAATCAAATATAATTTTAAAAAAAAAGTTCACATGATTTTACGCAGGAATTACTTTCAATTGTTTCAATCGATCAAAACATTGTATATAACCATCAAAGGTATCAACTTCTATTGTCCAACCAAATCGACGTGCTTTACTTAAATCACCGTGTCTATCATTTGGTGACTTCAGAGAACCATCTATTATATTAAAAAAGTCCATATATCAATAAATAATTAAAAATTATTTTCATACCTGCAAAGGCCCATGTCGCATAATCAAAAGCTTTTTCATCAAGATTTTCTCTTTGAGCAATACGAATCCAAACATCTTTATTTTTTGGCATATATTCTGCTAATTTTATTTGTACTTCATTTTCATTTAATATTTGTTCATGATGAGGAATATTAAAATAACTATGTAAAGAATAAATATAATATTAATTAAAATAATTAATTGATTCTTGTGTTTTTACCTTTCAATTTTTGGCCATAAATCTCGATATCGAACCAAATCACCATTAGCAATATTGAATATTTCATTACGAATGTTTTTATTTAATACTGTCCATAGTTGAAAACGTGCATTATTCGAAGCTGTTGAATGATCGGATATTCGATTCCATGCTTTTCTATTTCCAGGAAATAATAATGGTTGACCAAGTTCTTTTTGTATTGTTGCATATAATGCAATTGTTACAGCAAAATTCATAAAATTTCCTAATTAATTATAAAAGAACAAGTGTTTTTCTAAATAAATTAAAAAAA